GAAGACGTACCAGATAGATACATCTACTGATGGTACAATATGGACCACTTATCAGGAGAACAATATTGACAGGGTAATGTAGCATTAGTGATAGTACGATAGTTCAGTGTGTGAAGACGTACCAGATAAATACATCTACTGATGGTACAACATGTACCACTTATCAGGAGAACAATACTGACAGGGTAATGTAGCATTAGTGATAGTACGATATATCATTTACTGATGGACCATAAACCTTTTTTACGAATCCACAGATATTCTACGGCAACTATGATCGTACAACGGTGGTCCGTCAAATTCTTTACCATGGCATTGTAACAAGATATCTACGTATTGTACCCAAGACATCTCAGACTAATACACCATGCTTGAGAACAGAGATCTATGGATATCCTTTCGATACAGGTGAGTTAAACACTCAAGGTATAGTTACATCTATAAATAGTTAGACTTTAAAATGGCTCGGATGACCCCTTCAAATTACTCGAAGCATAATTTTAGGAACGTCAAAGAATCACTGAGGACGTAATGAACCCTGGACCGAGTGAGCACCCGTTTATATCTTTTCCTCATATTAACTACCTTTCATAAATTCATAACTCTTGGTATATAAAGCACCTTTGATCATATCCATATGGAATAAGGGCGTTATATAAATTAACCATAAATGATCAGTTGATCGACTCTTTTGTCTTCAGTTTGTTCCAGTCACAGCGTTGGTATACCAAGTCATAATTTGGTACCAGATCACAGGCTTACAGCGACATCTAACTATGACGAACGCTACAATGTTTATGGTGGTAGACTGGGTTCTGAAAACACCGCTTGGGCACCAAAAACGAACAACGTTGATGAATACATGCAAATAGACCTTGGTAATTTGTTTTACGTATGTGCCGTAGTTACCCAGGGAAACATGGCTCAGAAACGGGAATACGTCACGGATTATAAAGTTTTGTACTCAAAGAATGATATTCAGTGGACTACTTACAAGGAGAGTGGAGTAGAAAAGGTACTTGGATCTGATCATTTATAATCATTATTTATAATATACATGTATCATTAGTAATTAGACTATTAGATATTATTAGATTTATGTTTATATTATTATCAGATTAATTATAGATATCAGTAGTAAGTAGTGATTACAATCCTAATCATAGATACAGCTTCTCATAAATCCCATATAGGTAACTGTCCAATTATCATTCTTAATTGGACAGGTCTTGTTGATATGGGATTAATTAGGCAGCTATATAATTAATAGGTAATGGGATTTCATGCTCCCCAATCAAGAAATAATTAGACTCGAAAAATTCCTCTGACTGCCAAATTGGAYTCGGCCTACGGCCTCATCCAATTTTGTCAGTCCTCGGAATTTTCCTCGTCCAATTGTTTCTTAATTGGACAGCATGGAGTCCTATTACATATACTAACCATGTAATATGCTTTGCTATGGTGGAAAATAGGTATTTTATGGAAACACAAACAATGCTGATGTGGTTCAAATATCAATAGCTAACCCGTTTAAAGCCAAGTTTGTCCGTATCTTGCCAACTGCGTACTTTATGCACAAAGCATTGCGTGTTGACTTTAAAGGACTTCCTTCAGGTAAGCGAATTTTTGTTTCAATAGCCCTTTCAACTGACATCAAAGTTAATGATTGTAAACTAATAAACCAACCTAGCTTGCACCTCATCGCTTGGTCTTGAGAATTCACGAATACCAGACAAGCAGATGACGTCATCTTCGTCATCGGATGATTTCCATACTGCACCACGTGGTCGTCTGTATGGTAACTTCTCATGGTGTAGCTCCAACACATCCAATATTGAGTACATACAGGTTGACCTTGGACAGATCAAGACGGTGACAGGTATTGCAACACAAGGTGACAAAGCTTTGGACAAGTGGGTGACGTCATACAAAGTGAGGTACAGCTTTGATAACAGGTATTGGAACGAATACGAAGAAGGACAGTTTGCAAAGGTAAATAGGATTTTTGATTACAAACCGCCATGCTTTTCTTAGTGATCTCATGTTGTGATTTTTTTTTTTTTATCTCTCAAGGTCTTTCGTGGCAATACGAATAAAAAAGATGTTATCGTGCAGTGGCTCTCTCGCCCAATAGCTGCACGTTATGTCAGAATTCTTCCCCAAGCTTGGCATAAGGGAACCTGTGCACGCTTTGATCTCTATGGCTGTGAAGTTGGTAAGCAAATTTTATAAGCAAGGACCCAATATTGTCTTTTGAGCTATAACGCTATACAGTGTATGAGTACGACTCAAGCGTACACTTAGAGTAGCTTCTCTTTGCCACAGTACACGTTCATGACAACTTTCTTTTCCTGGCTTATAGTCRTTCTTATTTTCTTTTCAAATATCGCTGTAGTTGATTTACCAAAGGCTGCTGTTGATGTTCCTCAAGTTGTTCTTTCAAGTCCTAAGTCCACTCAAACAATAACATGTAGTGTACTAGGTGAACCAGCACCTGACATACAGTGGTTTTACAATGGAACAAAGATCAACGGTGCAACACAATCAACGCTACAAGTACGGTTTGCTGAAGACGTGGTGCCCCATTACAATTGTGCGAGACAAGATCCTAACACACGAGCTGTGGTGTGTAACACGTTCTACACGTGTAGGGCAACTTACCCAAGCTACGTGCCAAGAGGAGGAATGGATGAGGCATCGGTGGAAGTAACGGTGAATCTAAGTATGTGCACATTAAATTGCAGAAATTAACACCTTTTTTCTTTCCAAGAATGTGGTTTGTTAATAAATAATAAAAATAAGAATAAATACAAGGGTTGCACAGCTAAGATGTCGGGTTCCCAAAATTATTAGAAATATTGGTTCAAATGTATTCCTCCCGCAATTCGTGTGGTGAATATTGACGGTCCTATTTTAAAACGTTGAACTGCTGTTTGAGATTTGGAAAAATATCCGTCTTTTTTCCTTTTCATTTTCAAGATGTGTCACAAGCTCCTACTATCACAGCAGTTCCATTTCAGCGTTCTATACGCCTGAGCTGGATCTTGCCAAACCCGTCTGACAATGTCGGAGCAAATACCAACCTCACAATAGAGTTAAACAGCCAGAGCTCTAACAAGACTATATCTGTTGGTCATCAAGCCTCTCCTTTTACCTTGACGAACCTGAGACCTTACACGAACTACGATGTGAGAATGAGTGTAAAAGAATTGGCGGGACAAGGACTGTGGAGCAAATATCTTCACATCAAAACCATGATAGCGGGTAATACATATCGTAGCTTATAGTGATGCATGATGATATGGTGATGTATAAGTGAAAATAATGGAGTTGGTGGTGGCGCATGACGGATGATAATGATTGATGATTGATGATGACTGATGAAGATGATGATAAAGATGCATGATGATAATAATAATAATAATAATAATAATGGTGATGATGATGACTGATGACTGATGAAGATGCGTGATGATGATAAAAAAATGATGATGATGATGATGATGATGATGACTGATGAAGATGATGGTGGGGATGAAGATGATAATAATGATAATAATGATGGTGAGGGTGGCCCGTGAAGACCGGGCTACGATGATTTCAGTATTTTTTATTAAAATTGCCTTTAACTAAATGAGTATTAAATTTCTTTTCTAGAGCCAGATTGTATTCCGACAATTACCAGCCTTATGGCCGTGACATCTCAGAGTATCCGCATAGAATGGCAGGTAGTAATCATATTTATTATATAGATATCGATGAAATGCCACTAGGTTTTCTCTAGTGTCGAAAACTTGATATCTTTCACCAGTGGAAGATACCATATCTTTCACACGTGAAGATATCGCTGTTGAATCGGCTTGCTATTTTGCTATTTTAATAAAGAATTTTTGAGCTTTTGTCTTATTTAAGTTTCATCGATATCTATATAATAAACAGAACATTACATGGCCGCTTGGAGATACGATTTTTATCTTCTCGTGTTCAATTCAGATATCTTCTCGTGTTTAATTTAGATATCAATTGAACACTCGAAGATAAAATCCGTATCTCCGCGCGCCCATGTAATATCCTCTATATCATAATAGTATAATAGTATAATATAGTTTATGATACAATCTTGGAAAAACGGCTAACTAGAAAATTACAAAAACCAAGCTTTTTTATATACATTACTGGCTAGAAATCGCTCGATTTGATTCGATTTGATTTTTATTCGATTTGATTTTTATTATTTGATTCGATTTTATTTTTATTGGAAAAGATTCACTTTTGGGAATTTCGAGAAAAATCATACATTTATGTCAGCTCACACCGCAACGCCGCCATGTTTTATTGCTTCGACTACACACGCGAGTTTTCCCGCCAAAACCGCCACAGGGAGACCAATTTAAACTGTTGTTCAAAATAAAAGATTTCTAGAATAAGGTATTCTTTGATTAGTCGTGAATGTTTGACGGGTACCAGTCTAGTATTTATTAATACAATTTCAGTAGTTAAACGGAACTCCACTGAATATTTATCAGGGTGAAGATCGTCATAATCGTTTTAGCCATTTGGCGGATACGAAAAAAAACCCACATTTCTGAAATTGTCTTTGAGCAGACTCGTTAAAAATCAAAACTATAATTTAAAGTATTGAAATTTCAAAATAAATATTACTACTAGATATCAATACTAGAAATTAACTGGGTCGGGTCGCTGGTTTGAGTCCTGCGGTCGCCACATGTGAATCGAGTTTTTTTGATGTGTTGTTCTCTCCTATGCTACGAGAGTTTTCTCCTGGTTCTCCGGTTTTCTCCCTCCGTAAAAAGCAACATGTGAGTTGAGCGTTGTGTGCATAGAATATTGATATAGTGGTAGTGTGTGTGAGCGAAAAGTGTCCCCAATTAGTGCGAAAGCGCTAGAACGACTAGACAATTAAATAAAGTGATTTATTTATTATTTTCAACTGTCAGTTGTATAGGACTACTGTAATCACCACGTTTTCTCATTTTTTTAACAGCTTAATGAAACTGATAAAATCAATGGACCAATGGCAGGATTCAGTGTCAAATATGCAAAGGAAGGAGGCACAGTAATGTTGATTGTTGTGGGTACCATGACAACGTACACCCTGACGTCCCTGGAAAAAAACACAGTCTATAAGGTCACTGTTTCTGCAATGAATAGTCTCTACACAGGAAAGCCAAGTGTGGAAGTCAGGAATAAAACTCTGGAAGATGGTAAGTCGCATCATTAACCAGAATACAAATACCACCATATTTATACATTTATCACATATGCCATTTTTGAAAATCCAATTTGTAATTCAAAGCCTTTTCTTTTTTGTTTCAGCGCCAGAGTGTGCGCCAGTCTTGAAGTCTGTTCAAAGTCTTTCATTCGACAGCGTTCTGCTTATCTGGTCATCACTTCAAAATCTCAAATGTACTAATGGTATCTTACGAGGGTATAAAATTGTTTACAGGGAATCAAAAAATAAAGCAAATCCATGGAAATTCCATATAGTGGATTACCGTACAGCACAAACGGCTATAGTCACGGGACTCCTTAAATCTGTAGAGTATAAATTCAAAGTTCAGGCGTTCACTGTCAAAGATGGACCTCTGAGCAACTCATTGGTGGGGAAAGGCTATGGTAAGATTTCATTACGTATTTATTCTCTACCTTCCTCCCTCCCTTCCTCCCTCCCTTCCTTCCTTCCTTCCTTCCTTCCTTCCTTCC